TATATATATTTATATAGATATTTAATTCTTTTTTTGAAAATGGATTGTTAAATTAACTTACATTATAATTTTTTTGGGGGGTAATTTATTGCTTAAAATGGAATTTCAGGTTTTCATTACTTATAATTGCCATATACCAGTTTCATTGCCTAAATCTTGCCAATAAAAGCAAAAGTAACACAATTAATTTTTAAATACAAAAAGACATTTTAGGAAAGTTTGACCTTATTTGATCTCCAGGACAATATTAAATTGTATTGAAGAAATTTTCAAAATGTGATGATGCCAGCATCAGCTCAGTTTCAATTCAGTTGTATTTATATTGCGCCAAATCACTTGCAACATCACTGGTATGTAGTTACACTACGTTCTTCTTTTAGAAGGGTTCAGTTTTTGATTAGCAAAACATTCACCAACGGTTATACTTTATCTCACCAGTTTAATTTCACATAGCAGTAGTTTTGCATATACACTTTCATAACAAGTTTTAAAAACCACTTTTCCAGTTCTCACACCCATCTGCACTTACACAAAGGACATTTTACATCTAAATGTTGGCAAGTATACTCCTAAACTTCATAAACTTCATTCTTATTACTACTGAAATGATAACACTGTGGCCCATTTTGATTGGGGGGTGAGCATGCGCATAATGAGAACCAACATAAGCCCAGAGGCCCCAAGTGGCTGCAACCAACAGCAAAGACCAAGCTGCATTGGACAGCAGCATGCTGAGCAAAAAAGCACATTGGACGTTCTCCACCAGCGCCCAAGGCCCCCCAGCAAGATCCTGTCAGTGATTCTAAGTCCCTTTATTTGGCCCCCAAACCTGACCTGCATGTAGGAAAAAGAACTTTGGAAATCTGTCCTCCAGCATCAGGAAATCTGGGCCTGAACTCTGAGATAGTCTGAAATGTACAAATGACCAAATTCAAACCAAGTGGAAAAATGAGAGAGAACAGTTAGTCTGTGAACACATTGTGCTCTGTGTATGTTTGACATCTAAAATCAGCAGGTTTTCCTCCTGTCTCTGCCCCTCAGGGTTACATCAAACAGTGCCGCAAAAGGACAGACATGTTCACTGAAGAGCAGCTTCGTACCATCTTTGGGAATATCGAAGAGATCTACCGATTCCAAAGGAAGTTCCTCAAAGGTCTCGAGCAGAAGTTCAACAAGGAGCAGCCACATCTGAGTGAGATTGGTTGCTGCTTCCTTGAACATGTAAGCTGAATCAAAAAACAACAAAAAATCTTCAACTGGTTTTCTTAAAACCTTTAGAAAACCAGTTAACCCACACACACACTTCTGCTTTCAGTCCTTCTGAGTTGTCCATTTCATAGTGCTTATATTACACGTACATTTTTTTGCCTGATTAATTGAAAATGCTTTATGATGTTTCATGACAGGTCTGAGAGGTGTTTTCAGTCACATATTAAACACTCTTCCCACACCATTCTCTCACCTCTAGCCCGACTTGTTGTTGTCTGTGTTCAGCAAACAGATTTCCAGATCTATTCAGAGTATTGCAACAACCACCCCAATGCCTGCATCCAACTCTCCAAGTTGATGAAGGTCAACAAGTATGTATTCTTCTTTGAGGCTTGCCGACTGCTTCAGAAGATGATTGACATATCTTTGGATGGTTTTTTGCTGACTCCAGTTCAGAAGATCTGCAAGTACCCGCTGCAGCTGGCAGAACTGCTCAAATATACCAACCCTCAGCACAGGTGACTGTAAGCTCTTTGACAAACTGTCAGAATTTAAGTGCTCCCGAGCTAGCGAGGGTCCAGTTGGCTCCTCTCTATGACATACATTTCGTCAGTAGACGAATCCAAAAATCCATGCAGACAGTCACATGCTTTTCTGTGTCAGGCCACCAACAAAGCTTTTCTCCAAATGAAAGCGCTAAAATAGCTTAATGATGACTTTTTCTCGATTTCAACAGTTGCCCGTGTGCACATGTGAGTATAACAGAATAACAGAATCACAAGTGGTGATATTTCAGAATTTAAGATTTCCTAAAGACTTAACCAGGGCATCACGTGGTCAGATGCAGTTATCTGAAGTTTTAAGTTTACACACTCTTTGGGTTTCATCTTCATTCTTAAGAGTGATGCAGCATTAAATCTTAGTGGGATATTCAGACATACACAGATTGAGGGAAAAAAAGAGCCTCTGCCTTAAACTGAATTTCAAACAATGATTGCCTACAGCGAGAAGGAAAAACTCCCTTTTAACAGGAAGACCTCTTAAATATTCAGACGTGTGGCTGAACCAGGCTCAGGGAGGAACATATAGAGACAAGGGGTCACGGAAACTTCCATAAAAGGAAAACAAGAACAATATATTAGTATGAGATGGATTCTGTGCGGAGAGTTGCATGTCTACCTGCAGGTGTTCCAGTTTCTTTCTAGTCCAATTTCATGCATGTTAGGTTAATGGTCATTCTAAATTGTCCATAGACAAGGCAGATACACAAAAGTGCCCAATAAACAGAATACAACCTGTTTTGTAAGCCTAAAAAAATGTCCATAAAACATAACACAAATCTAATGAGGAAAATGTGAAAGTTAAAAAAGTAAGCTAGCAACTACAGCACAGGAAACTGAGAAGAAGCATTCAGGAACAAGCTAGGGTGAGAGGAACTGAGGCACTGACAAAGAATAAGGGGAATACAGGAATGAGAAATACACAGTAGGGTGATGGGCAGTGAGGAAACACCTGGGAAACACAGCTCAACTAAATCAGAATAATCACAAATCATGGGGGAAGGAAAATTAAACACCAAACAGAAGAGATGACTAACAAAGTAAAACACGAAGTACGAACAACAGACGTCTAACAAACAAACTTGACAACAGGATACAAGGAAAGCAGGAATGGTCACTAAACCAAAACTAAAGAACTTAACTATAACACAAGGAGAATCTAAAACTAAGAATAAGAGCTACAAAGAAAAGAATACTGTGACAAGGACCACAACACTGACCGTGTTTATTTTCTCTTTATTTACGTGGCACACTACTGACAGTTTCTTGTCGTTTGGTTCAGCACCCACGCGTGCAGCTTTCAGCTGCGCTATGACACTCCTCCCCACTCTCAGCTCCGGCTTCACTATATCACGAAGGAAGAGAGAGAGCTCATTAACTAAACTCCACACACCTGTCCCACCTCCCCGGCACTGCCCCTTGAGCTCACTGCACCACCCCTGCCCTGCAGCTGAGCCAGGGACCACACCTCTGCCTGAAATACAAAAGCCATACGTATCAGTAGAATCTCAAATACAGAACATCAAACTCGGGCCAACACCCCAGAGTCCATGACAGTGAATCTTCAAGATGGACTTGTCAGGCAGGAGGAAGAAAGATTGATGTAGTGAAGGAAGACATGCAGAGGATTAGTGTGACAGATGAGGATGTATGAACTGAGATGGAGGTGAACAAACTACTGAGAGGTGGGCAACTCCAGGCCTTGAGGGCCGGTGTCCTGCAGGTTTTAGACGTGTCCTTGATCCAACACAGCTGATTGAAATGGCTAAATCCTCAACATGTTTTGAAGTTCTCCAGAGGCCTGGTGATGAACTCATCATGTGATTCAGGTGTGTTGACCCAGGGTGAGATCTAAAACCTGCAGGACACCGGCCCTCGGGGCCTGGAGTTGCCCACCACTGCCCTAGAGGGAGGAGTGCCCAAAAGAAAGTCTAAAGCACTGCAGCATCAGTATGACTAGAAGAGCACAATATAAATGCAAGTGCATCACCTTAAATGTCCCAAAAATGTGCAAATACATTATTTCATTATAGCTGGTCACTGTATTTTATCAGCATTTATCTAAATCGATTGATTGATTTTTGCCTTTACTGTTCATTCTTTGCACAGTGCAATGAGTGACGAGTAAAGCAAGGGAAGAAAGAGTGTGTGGGAATGACATGCAGGTAATGGGCTGCAGCAGAACCAATCCAAGGCTCTGCAGTTTAGTGCCAGGCTGTTCTGATGACCTATAGCAACACCCTCCAGTAAACCCCCAAAACTCCATCCCCGTAGAGACTGTGTCTGCTCCCATACAAGCAAAATCCAAACCAAAATCGGCAAACAACCATCCATCCATCCATCCATCCGTCCGTCCGTCCATCCATCCATCCATCCGTCCATCCGTCCATCCGTCCATCCATCCATCACTGTTAAAGATGAATTAAAACTCTATTTATCCTTGTCCACTCTAACTGGACAAGTCAAAAAACAGTTTTAGTTGTTATCCATCATCTTCAGTGTGTTTATCTGATGTCTCTGACTTTTTTGTCAGGTTCAGTGCCCAGTCAAATAATTGTTGTAAGTCCATCCATTTATATGTTGAAATGACACTGCATTTAACTTAACTTAAACACATAACTCATAGGCTGGAGAGGATATTGTGCCTTTGGAAGACCTTGATTTGACCTGGAATATCTGTCTTTTGCTTTACATAGCAATACTATAGTTTAGGATCCCTGGGTCTGTTTCATCATATGTTTTGTTTGTTGGACTTTTGAATCAACATTGTATTGTGTTTTGAGAAAAGTATTCTGGATTTATCTGGATTTGTTCGTGCCTTTGATGTTCCCCCTGTGCTTCCTGGGTTATTGTCTATATTTCTAGTTCTTAGTCCTCGTTCATTCTCAGTTCCCTTCTGTGTCGAGGTTGTCTTAGTCTCTCCGTGTCCCTCACTCTCTCTGTGTTGTTTTTCCTGTTTTATTTTGTCAGCCCCTTGTCTCGTGCATGTTATGTTCAGTTTTGCTTCCCCTATCTCGTCTGTTTGCTTCAGCTGTGTTCCCATGTGTCTCCACTTCCCCTGACCACCCTCCTGTGTTTATCTGGTGTCAGTTCCCCTTTGTCCCTTATCAGAGTGTCCTGTTATGTTCTGGTTTCTGTCATTCCAAGTTTAGTTTTTCAATAGTTCCCATTTACACTTGGACTTTTGCCTTTGTTTTGTACCTGTTCCATCGGTTCAATAAAGGGCTCGCTTCTGTTAAAACCTCCCCCTGCCTCTGTGTGCTCATCACACACAATCCAACACTCTGAAGGAAAAGTCTTCTGTAGAGCTGGGACATCTTACTATTTGTCAATGATAGGTTTCTTTTTAACACTTTTTCCAGGCTGACAAAGAGTCAGAGCTCTGCTGAATGGAGTCTTCCTTTAGACTTTAATAGTAAAGACTAGTAATGATGATTATTTTTCTAACAATTAGAGTAAATTTCACACCCTTCCCAAGGATGTACCAGTAAATACAACAGCTTTAATAGCTGCTTATATTGACTTTCTCTAACATGTAAACATGTCTCTTAGAACTCATTCCTACAAGACTGCTCTAAGTCTGATCATTAAGTGATAGCCCAACTTTAAATATGATTAATTTACTTCTAAACTGAGATTTGTTTTTTTAATTTGGCCGCAGGAATCTTAAAAACATTTTGTCTAACCAGATACTGGACTTACCTTGGCCTCTAGCAGCGCTTTGAGGAACCTGTGTCATTTTTTAATCAGGCCATGTCCTTGACTGTACACATAACTACTTTTATGTACTTGTGCAATATCACTAGAACATTCTGTCTCAGAATGATGAAAAGTCAGTTCATGCATTTATTGCTTCTAGTGTTAACTACTGAAAATCCAGTATTATCTCCCTGAAAAGCCTTCAGCTGAAACAGAAGGCTGGAGGGACTAAGAAGATAAACCATATTTCTCCCACATTCTCCCCATGGGCTCTCTGTAAATCCCCCAATTTAACAACCTTCTCCTTACATACAAAATGTTGAATAATCATCTTATCTTAAAGACCTCATAATACCATACTATCATAATTCAGAGTTGGGGGGAATGGGATATCAGTAGCTCACAGTCTGGGTTTAGGAGACAGACACTATTTGTACTTTTAGATTAGGCCTAAAACTTTCCTATTTATAAAGTGTATAGGTATCATCCCTTAGATATGCTGAAATAGGTTTAGGCTGCTGGGGGGTTCCCATGATTCACTGACCATTTCTTCTTCATTCACTCTCTGTGGCTTTATACACAGCGGATTAATTCATTCATTCATGAAAGATTCAGTCAGTCATTAGTAACTATGACTCTGTGTCTCTCTGCTCACTTCTCTAACCCCTCACTCCCAAGCTGGTCACGGCAGATGGCTGGCCCTCCCCTCAGCCTGGTTCCACCTGAGATTTTTCCCACTCAAAGGGAGCTTCTCCTTCCCACTGTTGAAAAATGCTTGCTCATGGGGGCTCATTTGATTGTTGGGATTTTCTTTCTAACATTGTAGGGTCTTTATCACCCTACAGTATAAAAGGCCTTGAGGTGACTTTTGTTGTGAATTGGCACTTTATAAATTCAATTCAATTGAACGGAAATAAAATGGTGCATTTGTTAAAGATATTTTGTGAAGTGAGGCACAGAAGGTTTACAGTTACTTCACTCTAAGGTGACCTCTGATAAATTAGTTGGTTTTTCTGTCTGAAAAGACTAACAGACACGGCATTTTAGTTTGTGCAGTTTGGGGTTTTTTTCTACAGAAAGCCCCATTTTCTGACAGGTTGTCCGAAACCACACTATACTGTAACTGTAACACGACGCCCTGTTCAACAACTCAGTGATTGCTTTAATGGTTGTTTAATAATGGAGTTCTGAGGCATGGCGGATGCATCAGTTGTGCTTCACAGAAAATATAAAGAGTGTGTTATGGAATCACCACAAATACTTACTTTATAATCCAAATGCATGTCACTCTCTAAACTTTAGGGACTACAAAGATGTGGAGGCAGCTTTGAATGCCATGAAGAATGTTGCCAGGCTTATAAATGAGAGAAAACGGCGCCTTGAGAACATCGACAAGATCGCTCAGTGGCAGAGCTCCATTGAGGATTTTGAGGTTTGTAATGAAGCATCTTTTTTCTAACATTTCTCCAACACTTACTATTAACTGCAGCATGTCTGAGAAGCACCTAATAGCTGCATGTGTGCTTTAAACCTTACAGGGTGAAGATGTCCTCAGCAGAAGCTCTGAGCTCATCTTTTCAGGAGAGCTGACCAAGCTATCCCTGCCTCAGGCTAAGAGTCAACAGAGAATGTTTTTCCTTTTTGACCATCAGATGGTGTACTGTAAAAAGGTGCCCTTTTTTTCTACTATGGATGTCATTTTGTGAGGTACTGATAAAAGCATGTGGCAAGAATCACCCTAAGTGCCAGGAGAAAGGGGCATCAGTGTAAATGTACAAAAGAAAAGGTTATCCATGGTTGTGTATCAGGTGTTATTTATATAGCGCCAAAACACAACAACAGTTCCCTCAAGGTGTCTGTGTAAGGTAATACTAATGTGTCAAGCTAATAGGCTTAATTTGTATTCTAAATACAAATACATTTCTATAATTTTCTGATAATAATTCACTTTATTCCACAAGAAGAAGACAGTTTGGTCAGTGGAAGAAGAAAAATGGTGGTATTTATGTACTGAGATGGATCATTAACTGAATTGTCAAGGTTTGTTTGGTGCAGGACTCAATCGCAGGACTCCAAAACTCTAAAACTAGTGAAAAATGAAAAAATTTATTTAAAGGGGCATATATACATTAGAGATGGCACGATACCACTTTTTTATGTCCAATACCGATATCATAAATTTGGATATCTGCCGATACCGATATGAATCCGATATA